CCAGGACCCATGCCTGACAGTAGCCACCCCACAGAAAGCAACCATCACCCATCAGCCGCCGGCTACTAAGAGCTGGGCCGACATGATGGAGGATGAGTCCCCTCCCCTATTCGAGGACCTCCTTGAAGGGGAGCCTGGCGGTGAGGACGCAGAGGGTGATGCCAACTCTGACCTCCTCAACATGGACGAGATGGAGGATGAGGAGGATGATTCCACCTTTCCTGTCCAACAGTCCAGACCCCCCAGCGCATCAGATGCTGCTCCACCTGTGGACGGTAATCTGTATGAGGTCTGCAAACGGGCGGCAGCAAAGCTAGGCGTACAATGGCCAGCAGCCCAGGACGCTGAGGGGACAGAGAGAGACCTGTATGATGGCAAGAGGCTCCCACCAGCCCAGCCACCATCACAGCAACTCCTGCCGCCAGTACCAGCTTGCATGAAAGAAATGAGCCGGTACTGGTCCAGCCCATTTAAGAGTAAGCTTCCAACCAAGGGCTACTCTAAGCTGGGGATCCACGGTATGGGGGAACTGGGGTTGGCCGAACCCCCAGCGGTGGAGCCTTCGGTGGCTTTTCACCTCCACCCCAACCGACGCTCTCGCTCAGCCTCCTCCACCACTTCTCTGCCCGGCAAAGCGGAGCGTCTCACCGCCTCCATTTTCCAGAGAATGTATAGGTATGCAGCACAGTCAGTATGCTCCTTGAATGCAACCACACTGCTGTCTGCATACCAGGCAGAGATCCTGGAGGAGATGGGTCGACAGCTGGACTCCGGGGTACCGAACCCGGCTCTCTGGGATGAGATCTGCGTCGTCAATGACCTCATCCTACGCTCATCACAAGGCGCGGTGCAAGGCTGCGGTCGGGTGATGGGGCTGGCAGTCTCAGGTGAGAGGGCCTTGTGGCTGAACCTCTCAGGCCTGAGCGACAGTCAGAAGGCGGAGGTGATGGACGCAACATATGACCCCGCCAAAGGTCTTTTTGGTCCGGCCCTGGAGAAAATGAGGGAGACCAGCACCCTCAGGAAACAGGAAGGTGAAGCCTTTGACCTCTGTCTTCCACGGAAGCAGGCACCCTGACTTGGCTTCTCCCTCCCCCCCTCCCATGAAGATAAGAAAGGAATCATGGGTGGGTCAAATCCCCGTAGTTCACGGTTCAGAGACTCTGGCAGTTTCCTGTGGCCCAGAGGTCTCTCTGTTTCTCTCCCCTCACGTTCAAGAGGGCGAGAGTCGGGGACAGAAGGTAACACAGTGTCACCAAGCACTTTCACCTTGTTTAATAAAAATAAAGAAAAACAAAATAAAAATGAAACACTGTTATACCCCCTCAATTCCCACAGGGGGAGCTCACACTCCTGTTGGAAGACGGATCCCGCCAGTCGCAGCGGGTGACGTCACCACTGTGCGACAACGTGAGTACGTTACCTGCCCGGGCGGCAAGGTGGCGCGCATGCGCAGTTCATCCATGGGTTTTGTCAACCATTTCTCAGGGGTACAGACTACAATTCGCTATGAAACCACCCAGATTCAACGGTGTGGTGGCTTCAGCAGCCTATGGGGATGCGGCTCGGGTTTTACAGGACGAAATAGCATCGCTGGTAAACAAACAAGCGATCAGAGCCGTCCCGAGCGGGCAAACAGGGTTTTTACTCCCGTTATTTCCTCATTCCCAAGAAGGAGAGCTCATCCCTTCGCCCCATTTTAGATCTCCGTGTGTTAAACAGACACCTACGAAAATACACATTCAGGATGTTGACACACAAGTGCTCTGTCAATCGATACGTCCGGGCGATTGGTTCGTTACAATCGACCTCAAGGACGCATATTTTCACATCGCCATTTATCCCGCACACAGGAAGTTTCTCAGGTTTGCTTTTCAGGGCAAAGCCTACGAGTATCAGGCCATCCCCTTCGGGCTGTCATTAGCTCCCAGAGTGTTCAGCAAATGTGTGGAGGCAGCACTGTCTCCGTTAAGGAGCAGCGGTATCAGAATATTGTCGTACATAGACGATTATCTGATATGCTCTCGATCGCGGGAACAAGCGGTCAGAGATTCCGCTACGGTGATAAATCATCTCAGGGATCTGGGGTTCAATATAAACTGGGCGAAGAGCCGAGTGGAGCCCGCACAGTGCACAGAATACCTGGGTCTCAACATAAACTCTCTCTCCTATCGCGTCACGCTATCGGAGGGGAGGTTGATATCTCTAACACAGTGCCTCTCCCTCTTAAGGCTGGGGAAAGTCGTATCATTCAGACTATGCCTACGCCCGCTCGGCCTCATGGCGTCAGTAATTTCTGTTGTACATCTGGGGCTACTGATGATGAGGGATGTTCAGCGTTGGGTCGCGGCACTGCGCCTATGCCCACGCCGTCATCTCAGCTGCAGGTTGAGAATAACATCAGCATGTGTGGCGGCTCTCCGGCCGTGGAGAGACACAGCGGCTCTCGCAGCGGGGGTTCCGCTGGGTGCGGTGGCGTCCAGAGTAACCATGACAACGGACGCGTCCCTGTCAGGATGGGGAGCGACCTTGTTGGGCAGAACGGTGAATGGGAAATGGGATCAGAGCCTGTCTCATTCTCATATAAATAGCTTTGGGCAGTGTTTCTAGCATTGAAACATTTCCTGCCTTTTCTCCAGGGTCGTCATGTCCTGGTAAAGACGGACAATTCCACTGTGGTGGCATACGTAAACCGCCAAGGCGGCACTCGGTCACTGCAGCTGCACGGATTAGCTCGGAGAGTAATCTTATGGAGCAGCACCCGGCTCCTGTCTCTTCGAGCGACGCACGTGCCGGGCGTTTTGAACAGAGGAGCGGATCTCCTGTCCCGGGGAAATCCCCTGTACGGAGAGTGGAAGATCCACCCGCAGGTGGTGGAACAGATTTGGCTGAGATACGGCAAGGCAGCCGTAGATATATTCGCCTCGCGAGAAAACGCGCAATGTCCACTGTTTTTCTCCCTGTCGGACGCAAATGCACCTCTGGGTGTGGATGCTTTAGCACACCCGTGGCCGGACGCGCTGCTTTATGCGTTTCCCCCGCTCAGCCTGATCTCCCCGACTCTTATCAGAGTGAGAGAGCAGGGCCTGTCATTAATCATGATAGCGCCACGGTGGCCGTCCAAACATTGGTTGGCAGAAATAATACAGCTGTTGGCGGGCGAGCCGTGGCCGCTCCCCGTACGCAGGGATCTTCTGTCCCAGGCGTACGGGGAGATCTACCACCCGCACCCGGACCGCATGGCGCTCTGGGCTTGGCCCGTGAGAGGTGGAATTTGAGCGCTGCAGGTCTGCCAGCGCAGGTCATTGACACCATTCAGAACGCGAGAGCCTCTTCCACTCGCACTCTTTACAGTGGTAAGTGGCGGGTTTTTGAGGGGTGGTGTGACTTGAAGCACATCATCCCTTTTCAGTGTTCAGTAGTGGACCTGCTGTGTTTCCTGCAGGATTTGGTGGACAAAGGAAAGGCTTTTTCCACTGTTAAGGTGTATTTGGCTGCCATTTCAGCGTGCCACGTGGGCTTTGGAGATAAGCCAGCGGGGCAACATCCCTTAGTCTATCATTTTATGAAAGGTGCACGGCGAAAGCTCCGAGTTTCCAGACCCCTGGTTCCCCTGTGGGAGCTATCCTTAGTGCTGGACGCCCTCTCTCTCCACCCATTTGAGCCTATGGAGGTGGCAGAGATTAAGTTTGTTTCACTGAAAACAGCTTTGCTCTTGGCTTTAACTACAGCAAAGCGGGTGAGTGACCTACAGGCTTTATCCATACGGCCTTCCTGTTTACAGTTTGCACGAGGGCGCACCAAGGTCTGTTTGAGGCCCAACCCAGCCTTCGTGCCTAAAGTGGTGGTGTCGGGTTACAGGTGTCCCACAGTGGAGCTGTTGGCGTTTCACCCACCTCCATTCTCCTCGGCGGAGGAGAAGAAGCTTAACACATTATGCCCGGTCAGGGTGCTTCATGTGTATCTGCGTAGGACAGCAGGTTTCAGGAAAGATGACCAGCTGTTCGTGTCCTGGTCCACTCCCCATAAAGGCAAGCCGTTGTCCCACCAGAGGTTGTCCCACTGGATTATGGAAGCTATATCTCTGGCTTATGGGTGTAAGGGTTTGCAGCCCCCCCAGGGTTTGAGGGCTCACTCCACTAGGGGCATGGCCGCATCATGGGCCCTATTTAGGGGGGTTTCGGTGCAGGACATTTGTGCGGTGGCGAGCTGGATGTCTGGAGGCCTTCTGTGGCACAGGCAGTGCTGGAGGCGAACGGACCAGGGTCTGCATAGCACTGCCGGGCTTTAAATTGTTTAGGGCTTCGGGAGACTTATGTGTGTGTGTGTACGTGACTGTGTTTGTGTGTGCATCCGTTTGTGTGTGTGTGTGTGTGTGTGTGTGTGTAGATTTACCTGCTAATTAACACTAGGTCTTTCTCAGGAGGAGTCAATCTAATTCTGCCCCATCCCACATGGACACACACACACACACACACACACACACACGACACACTGACACACACACACGTTTTCTGTCGCGCTATGGCTTTCTGGCTCTCTCTGGTCATGTGACTCTTGTCAGACAGGTAGATTCCCTGCAGGTATCTTCTCTGATAATGACACACTGCATAACACCAACCCTCAGGAGAGAGGGAGAGTCAGACAGACAAACAGGCAGGCAGGCAGGCAGACAGATAGGCAAAGAAACAGATAGATATAGGCCTACAGGCAGACGGACATGCATAACCCTAGACATCAAACAAATTCATGAGTAGGTAATTAATTTTACAACAGTGTTGTAATCCTCCTAAGCATGCAAAATAATGTTCCTAGCGGCTATGCTAGCAGCTGTGCTAGCAGCCAGTCTATCCCGGTGCATTTGTGTTTTCAGATATAGTAATAGTGACACAGAAGTGCCCTGAAATAGCTCAGTAAAACGCAGCCAAAATTGCCATTTGGTGGACGCTTTTATCCAAAGTGTCTTACAATGCCGTGGGTGCATACATTTTTAGCATGGGTGGTCCCAGTGGGAATCGAACCCCTAACCCTAGCAATGTTAATGCCATGCTCTACCCATTGAGGGAAGAGCATAGCAGCATGGTTGAGGGTACCCATAGTCAGACCGCCAAGTTACTAATGACGAAACGTACACCACTAACCACCCCCCCCCGCCTCACCAGGGTGGCTACATGAGCTGGGCAAGCGCCTGGAAACGCCGTTTGCCAACAGCACAGCAGGGGGTCCGTCGGTGCGGAGCTCGTACATTGCCGCGCTCTATTTCACCCTCAGCAGCCTGACCAGCGTGGGCTTCGGCAACGTGTGCGCCAACACGGATGCAGAGAAGATCTTCTCCGTCTGCACCATGCTCATCGGCGGTACGTAAAAGCCTCGTTTCCATCTTTCTCCCCTAAGTCTTTGTCTTCCTCTTCCTACCGGGTGTCTGGCAGCTCCCCAGCAGGAAGTCAGACGTGGGACATATTGGCCGCGTCCCCCTCGGTGTCTCCAGAGGTCGTCGTGATTGGTGGATCAGTAAGGCGATGAGTCAGGATCCGACAGCAGACTCCCTTCCTCCTCCAAATTAATCTTAACATTTTCCGTTTAGGAGGGTAGATCTATGGTACATAGTGTGAACGCACGGCAGCCATAGTTTTAAATGTCTAAGCAAGGAACATTTTCGACTAAACTTAAACAGAAGGTCACGCAGACGTTACTGTTAAGCTACTCTAGACACTGCCCAGTTGTTTTTTTAGAAAGTTTATTTTTTTATCGTATGCTTTGATTGTTCTCAGCCTCACCGCTTTAGATAAAAACGTCATGACAAAATGTAAACATAAACATTTTTACATTCCCCATGTAATCTTACAGTACAGCTCATAAAGTACAGTAAAGTACTTTATCTTTATACATCATGAATAGAATACTGACGTCATTGGATTTGTGAAAAAACTGCAGGATTTTTTTTTCTCTTATATTAGAAAGTAGCATGTGACGGCTCCTCCTTCACGTTTTTGATTTCTTGTACGTGTATCCCGTGTGCAGCGCTCATGCACGCCGTGGTGTTCGGCAACGTGACGGCCATCATCCAGCGCATGTACTCGCGGCGGTCGCTGTACCACACACGCATGAAGGACCTGAAGGACTTCATCCGCGTCCACCGCCTGCCACAGCAGCTCAAGCAGCGCATGCTGGAGTACTTCCAGACCACCTGGTCCGTCAACAATGGCATCGATGCCAACGAGGTACGATGACCACACCCTGACCCCTCACCTCTGAACCCTCACCCAGTGATTCCCATCCGGTGGCCGCAGTAAGATTTAAAAGAATAGTTTTGGTTAAAAAAGTATATGCAACTACGCTTCTTATTAAAAACATTAAACATGTGAGTGATAAACATATACTACATGCACCTTTGACCTCTAACTCCCCAGCTCCTCCACGACTTCCCCGACGAGCTTCGCGCAGACATCGCCATGCACCTGAATAAGGACATCCTGCAGCTGCCCGTGTTCGAGGGCGCCAGCCGTGGCTGCCTGCGCTCTCTCTCCCTGCACATCAAGACATCTTTCTGCGCCCCCGGCGAGTACCTCATCCGACAGGGTGACGCCCTCCATGCCAACTACTTCGTCTGCTCGGGGTCCCTGGAGGTGCTGAGAGACGGCATGGTACTCGCCATACTGGGTAAGGTCGCCCGCGGGGTCCGGGGTCACGGGGAGGGGAAGGGAGGAGTGAGGGTGGATGTTTTGTCTCCTAGCAACCAAAGCACTGAGGGAATGGGAAGAGATGACTCGGTGTTGAGACAGAGGTGGAACATTCGAGTGGAAAAATATTAGCATAATTGGAGCAGGGTAGTGTAGTGGTTAGTGTGTTCGACTCCCAGCTGAAAGGTTCTGGGTTTGATCCCCAATGTCCACGTACCTGTAGGCATCTTTAAGCAAGATGCTCTCACCCCCTACCTGACCCCCAAGTTACATTTTTGTCTTGTTGAAGAAGGAACTGCATGATATCCTGCTGCTGGTGAGTATATGAAGTAACTTGTGTTTTGAGCTATTCATTTGGTAAACCTAATTCAAACGGATCTAAGACTGCATGAGCTGCATATCTGTTCTTAAGGGCTAGTCATTCATAGTGTTTGTACGTCCTGGCACTTAAAAAATAGCACTTAGCATCATGTAGCATTTTTACCCTAGCTGTCTTGTTGTTTACGAGGAATGATCTTGACATCATCCTGCAGGTAAAGGGGATCTGATTGGTTCGGACCTGCCCGACACGGAGCAGGTGATCAAGACCAACGCGGACGTCAAAGCACTGACCTACTGTGACCTCCAGTACATTAGCGTGAGGGCGCTCAAGGACGTGCTGGAGCTGTACCCTGAATACGCCAGTGTCTTCACCTCCGACATCCACCACAACCTCACATACAACCTGCGGCAGGGCAGCCAGGACGAGGTCTGACATACAAGCATGCACCCGCCATCACGCATGCATGCATGCCCTGATTTGCCTCTTCATGCAATACAATACAATACAATACAATACAATACTACACTATACTATACTATACTATACTATACTATACTATTATACTATACTATACTATATTATACTACAATACAATACATTACAATATAGCGAAAGGTACAACTATTACAGAATGCACTCTCATACACATACATGAGAGTACTTTCCAAGTCACTGGAGTCCATTCTATAACCACATAACCCCCACTACCACCTAATGCACAGCATGTCTTTACTGCACTTCTAAATGTTCAATCATGACTTTCAACCTTAATCTGAGCCCCCTACGAAATCAACGTTTTAAATTTAGCGCCGTCTGAAATATTCATACTCGCCTTAAACTATCCTCATCTCTTTTTAAAGAATGAGGATATGTATGGAGTATTCCAACCACTCTACATAATGCACAGGAAAGACACAGGAACTGAGAGAAGATATAATAAGAAATAGATAAACAAAATATATCTAAATGATCCTTTACATTTCAGAATCATTGTTTTGAAGATAAAAGATGTTTTAAAAAAGTCTCATTTAATATCAAAAAGATCTAGGGCTGTGCACATGCCTGGTTGTCATGGTGATGATGTGGGATAGACACACATGGTGTGTTCATGCCACAGTGACCATATGCCTGCACACACACACACACAAACACACACACCAGACCCCCACACACACATACACACAAATTCAAAAGTTAAGCAAACAAGCATTAAAGCATAAGCATTTTTATTTGACGTAATAGAGTATTAGTCACATGTACATTGCCCTTCTGTCTCTCTCACAAAACAAATAACACACAAAACAAATAGTTTCATCAGCATAGTTCAATCAGCATAAATAAAACTGATTGGCGCTCTATCAAAGTCCCCCTGTTTATTATGGGGTGGAGCAGAGTACCATTTATTTACCCATGGCAATTTATGAAGTAAGCAAAGACTTGAATTCATGAATTTATTTTAAAAGTGGAATGAAGACACAAAGAGTAGTCTATTTCCACACTACTTCTCAGCATCGTTGTTCCAAATCCATTGTAATGTAGTGTGTTTAACCACACATACGATGAGGTATAGAGTGTGTTACTCGGTTAGAGTCAGTTAGTTAGTCAGTCAGTTGGTTGATTAACCAGTCAGCTTGTTAATTAGTTGGCACAGATGTGATGATGTTGAATAAAGATCTGTTGCGGAGCCACTATGGGCCCTTGAGTTCCCTCAGACCATCTGCTGAAACACAGGGGCCCACAACCCTGGCAACAACCAGGAGCCCTACATTAATCAAACCCACACAAGTTGATGCTGTCGGTGTTGGTTTTTTTACACAGATATTATAGTCTTTATTTTAACACAACATGGACCTATGGTTTAAAATCATGAAAAAAGGACATTGAAAATGAAAATGTTAATCCTGCTTTCTAAATGAATCATTTATGTTTAAATTAGCATTCAGCGAATGGAGGCCCTAAATGCTTTAATCCGACTTAGCTCCAATGGGTGAGAGGCGTTAGATATTACCCCGAACATCCAGAAATTGTGCGGGAGAGTACAACAGAGAGATAGAGCCAATAGAAATGTGCTTGTTTATAATGGTGGTGTTATTGCCTTAGTAATTCATGTTTATGTTCAATTTAGCCAATATTCCACAGAGATAATTTAATCGGACAGAAAATGTCATTTATACAAAGGGAAATAAAACAGCAAGCCTCACGCATCCACTAGTCCAATTATAGAGGAATACAAAAAACATAATGTTCTGCAAAAGTGTTGTTCTGTTCCCTCTCGATAATCCTTTTACTTTTTCAAACTTGTTTGCTTTGAAGAAACACGCATGATTGACGATTATCGCGTCTGTCGTTTGTCCTCAATCGGTCTCCTGTGTCAAGGTGGATTATCTTAGTGGTGTTAGCTTTGTGTGTTTTTCGCCAACGATAAGATCACTGCTATTCACGGTTTAGATCCATCAGGTCCCGCTGTCTGAGGCTAAACAGATTCGGTACACCAGGGAAGGCCTTTACGGACGCCTCTGTTTGCCGTCTCATCCCTCCAGCTGGTAATTGTAACAAATTGCTAGCAGCTGGAAAAAGGCAGCTTCCCTCTGCATGTCGCCAAAGAAGGATCAATTACAGAATTCAGCTCGCATAGCAACGACTGCAAAACTGGAAACGGCTTGTTTGGGGATAATGGCCCATAGGCCTACGAAACTCGTTTCTAGGGGAGTTTTTATGGCAACAGCTCAAGAATAAATCCCAAAAACGAGTGTGTCTTAATTTCTTTCTGAAAAAGAGCTGTTTAAAAACTTTACACCGCTAATTATTCCCACAGAGAGATTTCGGGTGTGTGCACATGTGTGTGTGGGTGCGTGCTCGTGCACGGAGCGTGTTCTGGGGACATCTCTCTTTTTACCTATAGGACAATTGCCGGTAACTGTGTTTTATTGAATGCCTCTCTTGTTTTCTGTTCTGTCACGACAGGGACTCACCCGGTTTACAAGGTCACCCAGACTGTCACATGTGAGTTCTGCACCATTTTTATTACTCTGCCCCTTCCCTCATTCCACACCACACCCGTCCCCCATG